TAATGTGTTAGAAATAAAAATAATTGACTTGTAACAGATAGTGACGCTGCTTATGCTGCTTCAAGGTAATATTAAACTTATTTATAAGTATATACAATAAATTTTTTATCAGTACACCCTCTATATGTGCATACCCTCTAAATGCATACTCAAATATATACATAACCCCTGCAAATGCACTTTGTCTTGTTGTTTTCTAAGTAAATATTATTAAAGGTTAATTGTGCACTTATAGAGGTTTACTGTATTAAAAAGATTATATAAATTAATATATTTTCTTTAATTATAGATGTAGGCTTAGATTAAAACATTTAGATAAAGTTTTTTTACCATGTTATGCCCATTAATTCAATTTGTGTATAGGGGAAATTTTTAAGGAATCTGATAATTTTAATATAGTAATGAAATCAGCGATTACTGTTGTAGCTTATTTTAAAAATGCTAACTATTTTTATTTTATTAGTAAGCTTTGTGATGAGCAGTATTCTTTGTATAAGCACTTTATTTCATTAGCGAATCCTGTAGAAACACATTGGAATAGCTATTATTACTGTGTTAACTCTTTACTTAAATCAAAAAGTGCATTAAAAGTATACTTAATTTTTTTATATTATTATTTTTTAATAAGCTTTATAAATATTATAATACTAACTATATATGAATTGTATATTATATAGATACTTGTTGCTAAATTTGAATTTTCAAAAATAATATCAAATAACAAATCTTCAGGTCTCTATTTACCTGAAAATATATGCAGAATTATTAATAATGAGCTGTGGTGGTCACAACTTCAAGAACTTTCTCAACTTCTTCTTCCATATTGTACATGTCTTAACAAACTACAATGTGACAAAGCACAATTACATGAAGTTCTTCACTGCGTTTCTTACCTTATTAAATTATATAAAGATTATTCAGACAAAGATTTTGCTACCTATATAATTAATCGTTTAGTGCATAGATGGAATTCCTGGGAACAACCGTTATTACTTCTTTCATTTCTTCTTCATCCTAAATATAATATGTTAATGTTTAGTTCTAAAAATGAACAGCTTTATTTTCAACTCAGTGATTGGTTAATATATTACTACTGTGCCTGGTTTGGTAATGAACCCCTTACTCTTTTACCTGAACTTGAAAAATATCGAAAGAAGAAAAGCCATTTACAGAACGTGTTGCCAAACAGTTTAAAGATGATATTTTAGAATATTGGGAATATTGTACTACCTTAGCAAAAGAATTAGGTAAGGTGGCGTGTCGTATTTTTAGAATTTGTGTTAATTCCACTTCTGTGGAAAGGCTCTTTTCATATATGGGTTGGTTGCATAATAAGTCACGATCTCGTTTAAAGGTTTGTCTAAATTTATTAGTGTTAGCTTTTTAATTATTAATATTTATTAATTCTCAAAAAATTTTAGCCTCAAAAAGTACTTCACATGAGTCAACTTCATGCTACTATGAATCGCCATAATCGTTTGAAAGAGATTGAACTATCAATGAAACAATACAAGCAAAATAATGTTGCATTATCAATACTTGATGATAATAATATATCTGTAGTTGATAATGATTCAGATGATGAGATAGAAGAGATTAATGAAGAAAATGAGCAAGCTATTAACGTGGATAATTGGAATGAAATCGTGCAATGGTGGACTAAGATGATCTCTGAAGAAGAGGAAGATGAGGAAGATGAAATCGATTTTACTATAGGTGAAGATAATGTAGAACGAATTATTAATGATACAGAACATCCGGCTATTAACAATGATACAAAGTGGAAACTAAAAATGCTGTTCAAAGACAACATTCCTGCTCCAGCATTTATTTGTGACTTGTAATGATTATATAAACATTATTATAATATGATTTTATAATAAAAAGTAAATACTTAAAATTGTAAGTAAAAAAAAAAAAAACAAATAAATTGCAACATACAGTGAAAACTCCATAAGTGTACCCTTTACAAGTGCACGCTCCCTCTAAATGCACACTAAAACATATACATATAACCTTCATCAATGCACCTTTTCCTATTGTTCTCTAAGTGCACGTTATTAAAGGTTAATCCCAAGAGCGTGCACTTGTAGAGGTTTTACTGTTTTACCATTATATAATACTCACAAATTTAAAATCGACTAAAAAAGTGCTGGTTCTAGAATTAAGCATAAGTTGTGCAACTTATACTTACAAGCCGAATTATAATAATCGTACTTAAAGAGATATGATTATGTATGTCAAATTGGTATTATAATTACCTATCTAAATTTCTATTTTACTATCTATAAATATTTGCCGGCCTTCCATAATGTTATTAGCAATATCACAAAGATTTTTCAATTGAATTAAAAAGACATTTACTATAGAAATTTTCATGAACTTAATCAGATTGTATCGATCTCATCAAGTAGCGTCGCAGGTTAATTAGTGACTACCGTCACTAAATGGCCCAACAAAGTACGAACGATCTAATACTACGATGAAACTTGTGCTCAAACAAGGGTAAGTATCATTATCATTCGTTCAATTTATTAGAAAAAAGGGTGATTACTAACTTTATTATTTCGCTTCTCTTTTATATATATTCTACTCTAACTTATTACATTATACTTTGATCACATGGATTTAACTATAAGTTACTATTATCCTTCGCTTGTACTACCAATCCCTATGTAATTTATTCAACAGGAGGAAACGCCCAAATATAGATATGATTTTCATTCTCATTATACAGAACACTCATTGTATCGACCAGTCTACGGGATTAGTCAACTAATCAAATTGCGAAATTTACAAAAAGACAAAACCATGGGATTCAAGGGGATTCAAAAAATATGTTTTAAAGCAAAGTGAGAGCTTCATGTTTGTTTAATCATTTTCAATATTCATAGAAAAGATAAGTTAAACGAGGTTTCCAAAAAAGTATTGTAAAATAATATAAAAAAATTTTTTTGTAATGATTTTGTGACGTATCAACGTTTCCTCCTGTTAATTTATTCTTTACATTTCATTTCACGATTGCAATTCTGATCCCGATCTATCTTCATGGGAGTCGATCATTTTTCCATTCCCTCTAAGCTAAGTATACATTTTTTTCGATTTATACTAATATACTTCTATTACTTCTAGAGTTCTAAGTTCATGCTTTATCAAGTACACTGCATACTTATTTTCACCATGATAGTAGAGATGTTTTAATTTATCTATTAAATTTATATGAATATACAGTAACGAGCTTATAAAGAATTTTTATTTTAGCAATTAAATAAAACAAGATGAATTTAAATAGCTAAATATTTTATTAAAAAGATATTTTTGTTTATCTTTCATAGATTATTTTTTGTAAAATTTGCAGTAGTCTGTTTTTATTATGTATCTATATTATATTTATTATATAAAATTTATATAATCTATAAAACCTATTGTCCATTGGTCCATTGAAAAAATTTTCTTCAATGGAATGCCATTTTAAAACACGTTAAAGAAGATACTGAAAAACTCATAAAAGAAGGTATGTTTGGCTTGGTCGCTTTGCTTAGAGACTTTTTAGATAAAAACGCAGAAAGCACAAGGAATATTTGTACCTACATGGTGCAGTGCATTGGTAATATAATTACTTTATTGTATTTACTAGTTTCTTCTGAGAGGTATAAATCTTATTTTGTAGTTTACTATAGGTGACCGAATCACACTGAGTGAACTTCGTCTCGATAGAAGACATTATTATAAGATTTCGCAAATCAAGTCCGCTATATTGCCATTTTCTTTTGAAGAAGTCGAAAAGTATTTGAACTGTTATACGCTTTGGTGGTGTGTATTTTTATATATACACTGTATGCATTATAAGTATTTCGGTTTAACTTTTATTTTTATTTTAGAATGGACTTAAAATCAAACAAATGAATTAAAGAAATTAATGCTTGCTGATTCTAATAGTAATGAACCCACAATTCGGGATTGGATATGGGTTCCGAATACTCATTTAACATGGGAAGGTACAGAAATAATATATGAAGATTTTAACTATGAAAATATTTTATGTACCAAATAAATAGAGAACGCGCATGTGACTAGAATTTTGAGATCAAACCATAATGGCGTGTTGTCAGAGTTTAGAACAAAGTGTAATGCATATTAGCTAATAAAGTATCACTGAAAAATTCAGGTTAAATTCTGTATACATGCACGTAAATGATAGCAGATTCAAAAGTATCAGACAAAAAAAAATAGCATATCTTGCCAGAGCCTACAAGACCCCTTTGAATTTCATAATTGCTTTCAGAACAATAAAACAAAATACAGTTGACTCCCTCTAAGTGCAACTTGCTGGGACTTAGAAAAATTTCTCAAGTAAAAAAAAAAAATCTTGCACTTAAAGTGAATTTGCATTTAGAGAATATAAGTTTATTATAACTTTATATAGCTTGGGACTAAAAAAAAATCTGCATTTAAAGAGAATTTAATATGACCTGCACTTAGAGAACATGCACTTAGAGAGAGTCAACTGTATATTATTAAAAAATGTATCACTGTTATGTGGTGTGAGACAAATAAAAAGAAAACTTTTATGATAATAAGGATAATATTTTGATTAGAATTCACACTGAAATGGTGGCTGATTTCATTGCATATATAATCAGTTTACTTTTGCATGTGTATTTCATGAATTTATTTTATTATTTTTACAAGTGTATTTCCAAGATTAATCTGGATACATTAATATTATTGGGTATATATGATGAGAATTTTTTCTTGGTGGTATACACTTCCTGAACTAAGTTTGGAATATCATGTGATTTATATCTCTATGATAAAGAATTGAATATACTTGCATCTTATATAAAATGATAGCAAACACACAATATACAATTGTTTTGCTAAGAGAATTAAATACCAAGCTTACAGTTAAGATTAGCAAACTTAGAAAGAAGTATACTGAGCTTGAAACTAAGAATATTGAAATCAAAGCTGAGAATGCAAAATTATAACAAGACAAAGAAGAGGTTGAAGCCAGATTCTTGAATCTAGAGTAGAGAGATAGGGAAAAAACTAATCTTATCGCTAAACTAAAACATGATGTTTCACTAATTAAGAAGCAGAGCTTGCAAAACAGGAGTAATAATATACTGATAACATATCTAATAATGCAGAGTATCAAATATCTGATTCTAATATATGCCAAGTAAATGATAACCATTTTTAGTACCTCTCTGAAACAAATCATAATTGTGAACAGATAAACTTACAATGTGAAGACACTCCTGCATTTGATATAATTAATAATACTTCAAATTCTGATGTATGTTAGAAGACAAAGACTTAGCCAGAGGCTGGTTCACATTAATGCTCTAAAAACAAATTTTTAAAAGATAAAGTAATTGATAAATTTCTAGATCTAAAAGAAAAGGAAAAAGTTAGTAATATAATAAAAGAAAAAAATAGAGAAAAGAAGCTCAGATCTCAAGATCTTTTATTATATAATAAAGATATTTTACAATCTAGTAAAAACAAAGTACAGAAATTTATAGCAGAGGTTTCTTTTTTTTTTTTTTTAGTATTAAGGTAATCTCTTTGGCTATGAAGTGTTTTTTATTAGTTGTCAAATACTTATATAGTTATAATGAAGTTACAACTAGCCACACATGCATCTTTTGGGTGCATATTTAAGTAGTCTGCCTACGGGTTCTACACTAGCTGCTGTACTTGTAACCTATCTAGAGAATTGCCTATTTAACTCTTCTGGTCATAACCATCCATAGGTATCCTCTAACTAACTTAGAGATTTCTATCTAGTTGTCTCTAACAGATTTTACACACTATCTTAGAACTTCTGCAACTTATCAAGGGTTTGTACTAACTTATTACCGGCTTGTATTCCTTTATTGAGCAGATACATGGCTATCCTTGAGATAAACCTACTGGAGCCTTCTGTATTCCTATCCAGCTGACCCAGTCATCACAGTTGCTAAGACCCCTACTTACAGTTTGGTGTAACCTAATTGAACTGCTATGCTTTTGTAAGGTTCACTTCAACCCCAGTACTCACATTCAGGTCTTTCTTTTTCTGTAATTACCTTATTGGTCCCTCTCTTACTCCCAACCTGTAACCCAGAAGATTCGACCTTGGCTAGGCTCTAGGTGCCTTGTGCTTTGTCTCTTCATGGTATATAATTTTATAGCATATGTTCTTTTCCTCCAATTGGGTCCAGCTAGTTTTCAGGGATCGCCTAGCCCTTGTCATTAGGTAGAATCTAATTCTCAAATCCTAGTCACAGTAGATAGCCACCCCGGTTTCTCACACTGGCTAACTAGGTTGGTGTACTACTCTTCTCTCCAATTGGCAATCAGATTGGTAGATCCCCTACTTAAGGATCTTGTTGTCATTCGGTTCTCCAATCTTGGCTATTACTTTTAAATTTAGCCTTCCTGTAGTACTGTCGAAATATCCACTACCTCCTTACCCAGGTTTTCCCAAATGGGTTTCAATTATTCTAGTTTCTTTGCATTTTTGTACCAAAGCTTTCATAATGAGATAGTACAACCAAGATTACAGATTGTAGATCTAACTGATCGATGAATATTCATTACCTAATGCAGATTTATTTTTTAAAAAATGTTATCCATAGAATTCAAACTCTAGACCTACCGCTTGGTGGGGTGATAGCTAGACCATTTTACTATGTATCACACCTATTAGCAGAGGTTTCTAAAAACTCTAGCTTATCTATTAATAATAGTGTTATAGAATAGACTTTAGTATTAGTTTCGTGAATATACAAATATTAGTTCAAATTATTATTCTATTTTATTATTATTATTATATTATCTTTAGCTATATTTA